AAACGACTCCAGTGTCAACAAGAAGTGAGGAAACAGGCTCTGATAGAACAAAAGTAGGCAATAAAGCTAACAAAGCGAATGGGGCCCCAAAGACAATAGATATCCGATTTTTTTTTAAATCGTAACGAAGTCTAACAAATGCACCCCGAGATGGGGCCGCAATCGCGATCCGCGGGTATAAGAAAAAAACTTCTTGTAAGGGGAGGCATGGGAGGGAGTGGTTTGTGGGAGTTAAAATCCAGGAATTTTCGATCTGTTTTTCGAGGTCCTGGTTGTGAGAGACGACTTTCTCAAGGGAGTGCCTCAGTTGTTTGAAGAGTTAGCTTGCCTCGTCCAGCTCGTACATAATTTTATCCTTAAGCTGCTTGCTAAAGTTTCTGGAGAGGTCTAGGGCTTCTTTGGCACCTGAGATTCGTTCTGTAAATACTTGGTCTAATGTCTCGATGCTCATTTGTTCCATTATTACTAATACTCCCAATTGCTACCGCGACTTGATGTAATATTTAAATTATTGATTTTTTTAATTTAGAGACTAAACCCTAAGAAATTTATTTCAGATGTAACCCTATTTTATTTTAAAATCTAGACCAGACAGACACTGGAGTCGGAAAAAGAATGAGACTTACCAAGGCAGAAGACTGTTCGCTTTCAACAGTAGACTGGGAAGAGAAAGAGCTGGGTTAGGCAAAAACATTTTTATTGCAGTTTGCCTATTGTCTAAAAGTTCGGGGAACCGGGAAGGGCCGGCCGCCCGAGAATAGAATACTAATGGTTTTAATGCTAATTTAGAATACTTTAAAATATTTCTCATATTTTCTACTTTTATTCTCTATTTTCATTCTACTTTATAATTAATTTACTTTAAAACTCTATCTCGGGAACCAAGAAATAGATGTGTGATATGTACGGAATAGAATAAAGTGGAGAGGGAGTAGAAGGATATGTTTTGATTTTAGATGGAGTGATAAAATGCAACATACAGGGCATAAAAGGTGTAAGATTGATGAATAAGCGCGAGTTTAATTAATTAGTTACAGCAGAATCCGTTTTTATATATATATAAAATCTTTAAATGGATACTTGATTATTTTATAAATTGATATTGACGGAGTTTCGGAAAACGCTCTCGAGGGGGCAACGAGACGGAGATGTGAACGAACGCTTCCGAGACTGGGAAGAAGAGTGGTGAGAGAAGAAACCGCCATAAACACAGCAAGAGCTGAATGTAAGAAATCGAGCGGCAAGAAAGCATGAAAATTTGTTATTTTTAGAATAAACGAGTTGAATTGTGGTAATGAGTTACTGTAGATTTCAAGCAGCGAACGGAAGCTGATGGCATAGAGTATCGACAATATTAAAGGACGGAAGAGAATGAAAGGTACGCATGTGGAAATTTTACAGCTGGCGGAGATAACTAAAGGAGGAAAGAGGCCGAGGCGAGTGCTTGTGTGGAGAAGAAGCCAGCAAGAACAAGTAAACTATGCAGATAAGTGATTGTATGAAGGGGCTAGGATGCCAAAGTGTGATGTGTACATATTATAAAGACTGAAAGTAGATTAAAATTAGTGTAATTGGTGGCGAGAAACAAACGGTAGACTTGGTTGACAGTAAAAAGATGTAAAAAGAGCTACGCAGCAGAAACGTGTTGTATATGTCATGCTAAACAGTGTATTTAATTTTAAATTAAAGTTAATTTATAGGGTCGCGGAGAGCGGACGCCAGAAAAAGATCTACAGCGTAATCAACAGGTAAGTGGAACGCGTTATTGGATAGTGGTGAAAACACGGGACGTTGCTAGGTAATGACCTAGATAAATGTTAAGGAGAGACGTAAAGCGGGGGAATTGCTACGATGTTTCACATATGAAGAAGGATTGCAAGACGGTCCTGGACGAGTGCATACAGTTGCTTAAGATCTATATAGCTAGTGAAATAAAAGATTATTACTAGCTGGAAATTTCGGGGGGATTGAATGGAGGGGAAAGCCGCCGGTCGTATAGCGAGGACCAGATGTGTATGGAGGAAGAAAGATAGTTTTAAAGGAGGAGGGCGACGATAGGAGAATGGGACCCAAGATACAATATAACCATTTACATCTATTGTTATTTATTACTTAAGCTATGGTAAATTAAGCTATAATTGTTAGTAAGTTAAGACTGAATACGCGATAGCGCTCGTAGAAGGGCGGCCAGCACGAGAAGGTTAAGTCGGTCCGTAGCATGCAGCACACTGTTCAAAGCATTTCTTGGTTATTGCGAATACTTCTTCGTCTGCCACGAGCTCGCTTAGCGGAACTGGCCGCGCCATAGCACGCGCGTGAAGGAAGGAAATGAGCTTTCCCCGACAACGATCAAACAGGCTACATTCGTAAATAATATGAAATATTGTGTCGGGAACCAACATGCCACAATTACAGTTTACAGTGTTTATAATTTTGAATCGGTGTAAGTAGTAATTAAGTTTGCCATGTTGGGTGAGAAATGTCGTAGTAATATAATCGTGGTTTTTTAGTTTAATTTTATGCCTATGGCTTATAGTAGGAAAAAATTTGTATGTGATATCATCTTTGTTGTCTAGGGACCAGCGGTCTTCCCACAGCCTGATTGACCGCCGGCGCAGAAGACTTTTCGCGTGGGAGAGGAGAAGAAAATCGAAAGCTATAACGCCGTTAGAGTAGGCGGAAGTGGCCAGAGAGTCGGCCAAATCATTTCTGGGGCAGGAATTGTGTGCCTTGACCCAACAGATCGATGTGTTATAAGAGGCGACACATGTTTTAAATAGACTGTAAGTTTCGAAGTTAAGGACGGTGGATATTTTTGGTTTCTTCAGATAAGCTATGACTGTTTTGGAATCGGAACATATTAGAACATTATTTATCTTATTTTCGATTATATAGTTTAGTCTGTTTCGAACGGCAAGTACCTCTGCTTGTACTATGTTGCAATCAGAATGAAGTTTATAGTTTGCTTTGTAGACTACATTCCTGCCTGATAGGAATGCGAAAGTCGCACCCGTGCCACGAGGACTGTTAGAACCGTCAGTATAAATGCGTCATATTCGGTTATGGCGAAATCGTGATTGTAAGCGGGGTGAGGAAGCCTGGCTGCCGACTCCTGAGTGGCGAAACGGATGGGGTCCTCGCCAAACGTAGAAAAACCGGTAATTTCGATATGATAGTAATCATAGCGCGCTTGCAGCTCGAGGTCCAAAGAGGTTTTGTTGGCAATTACGAGTGCCGAACCTCGCGAGATCGTACGATAACCTTTTATTATTTTGGTACATACTCGTCTTTGGAATTTTACTGTTACTTATACAACTACTGTTAGTCAGTATACTTAATTTCTTGATTTCTGCTGAAACTAATGTGCATTAATAACATAAGTATAGTCATTCACTCATTATGAAGTAAATTACAGTATATCATAAATTTTATATTTTAAGTTGTCACAATGTGAATTCAATTCTATTACAAATCTAATGTGTCATAACACTAGTAATAGTATAATAAGAGAAAATTTCTTCGTCGATATAGAATGTCCAGTGATGTGTAAATTTAACTCGTAATTAACAATTTTTTTTCATTGTATTTATGTATAGAGAAACCTTTAAACTAACAATTGGTGTGATAAAGTGATATTAATTTAGTGTTTTTTACGGTTATATTATTCAAAATATATCGAATTATAATACAGTACTATTTGTTACTCGTACAACATCGTCAATAAGCTGTAATCAAGGAATGGTACAATGTAAATTGAATTGTGAGAACAATGTACTGTACTACTATCTGTGTGTATCTTTGTCGTAATATTATTGTTTACAGAGCTAACAACTGGTTATTACTTGTATTTTAATTTCATTCTATTTCTGTTTATCGAAATGTACATTTATATAAATTATAAAACTCCTAATTATAAAACTTCACAAAAACCGTAAGAGACAATGGATGGACAATTATCTATAGATATTCGAATAAATATTACACGAGAAATGCCTAAGCTTATACAAGAAAAAATCAAATATGTTTAATGCCAAAAATGTGTTTTTGATAAACTTGTCTTCCTGAAATAATTAGTACATATGAAAATTCTGAAAACACTTTTTAAATGCAGGCAGTTGTAGATTGTTTTATTTATTTTTTATACACAATAAGTTATAATAAAATGCACAATAATGTTATATTTTGTCTTGTATTATATAAGAACGATAATTTTATAAGATAAATTTAAGTGGATATCTATTGTAAAGTGTTCTTACATCCGTATGCTGAAATTTGCCATTTGTAAACGTACCTAGCCTATATTTAAAATTCTATCACATCCATTAATTAACTTGATGGACTTCTGGAAATGCTAGCCTAGTTTCTGCAGATAGTGAAAAGGGTGTATATTTCGGCATATATGTAAGCATGCATCTCGTGTAACGTTTAACGATTTATTACATTATGGAGTAACAGATAGCGACGAAATTTTTCCATTACTCTGTATTTCGTATTTTAATATGACCTCTAGTCCAGACTAGAAGATTTATATAGTTAATCTAGGCCTCTTGTCACTGATCTTTACACATCTGTACTCCACTTTTATCTAACTATTTTCTCGAGTTCGAATAAAGAGAGGCAGACAACAAACAGTTAGATGACTATCGGAATTTAATAAATTTACATCTTTTTCAAATTATAGCCCAATAATTTTTTTATAAACACGATATTATCGAGAACGTGCTTTCCACATAGTTTATACAATTTGTTGTACAAATAAAAACAATTTATTATCGCATAAAAACAATTATTTTCGCATTTTTTGACCGATTTTATTTTAATTTAAACAATTCGTATGACGTATTTCAGAGGTTAGAGTGTTCTCTGTAATATCAAACACGATAGCAGAATTCTCGAAAACGAATGCTAATAGAAATAAGCAAAGTCTTATCAACTCGTTTAGTGTTGATGCATTTGTATCAATTACCAATGTATATGCGCAGTTCTAAATAATTTTTATCCTTGAATGTACTGTTTTGCAACACGAACTTCGACACGTAATTAATATGAAGCCTCCCGCGACTATTGATAAAGTATAATTACTCTGCATTTATTTTCTCGACCCGGAATTTACCATTGAAGGTAAGCATTATTAATTAATTAGTAAAGGTTTAAATGTTGTTATTGTACGTTTAAAACTACGATTCCAAACCTAAAGTTATGTTATTTCAATTAAAAACTTTTTATCCAGATTGATGTCCAGTACGTCTTTATTGGTAAAGGAAAAGTATAATGTACACGGACAAGTCACTATTAATTTGAGGTGGAGAGCACATATTTAAATGAAATAAATTAAAATTATGAGTAAAAATTGCAGCCCGGTATTGTGATGATGCCACAATAAATAACTGCTCGTTTTATATTGTTTTTAAACTAATTTTGCGTTATTTTAGCTTGAAAAATTAGCAATTTTATAAAGTAATTTATTAAGTTTATCTGAATTAAAAAAATTTAAAATCAATCATCTTTTTTATTTATTTGGTTTCAATTTTATAAATATTAAATGACTTTCCGGTATAGCTTTCCTGTATAATTGGGGGTTATTTCTTCTCTCTAAAAAGGTGTCTGTAAGTTTGTTGAATTGATATAATGTTTCAATTATAACCTAAATAATTTTCAAACATCGGTTTGTTTATAATACATGATATTTATTTCGTCCTTGTTCTTAATTATTTATAATATATCTCTGTTGACTTTGTACCTTCTTGTGAATTAGGACTTGTTACACTGAGTGAAGAAAAACTGTGTCTATTTCTGTAACAAGTCTTAGGTCACAAGAAGGTACTGTACAAAGTAAACGAAAGTATAATATATTTAAATAATATTTGTTTGGTGACCTACAAAACGTTTCGTCATCGTACATCCACTTCGAGGAAAGGTCAGTTTAGATATAAATTCTGCTGTCTTATCTTCGTATTTCTTAAATCTCAATCTCGACAAATACAGGACTTATCACACAGGATACGTATCACGTGTTGAAAAGAGCGTAGAAAAATTAATCACTTGTAATTGTCGTTCGATGTTATTTTAGGTTCGTGTTTGCTGTTGTTCATTTTGATCTCTTAAATTATTTAAAAGCGTGTGGTACTGTACGATATAACCACTTTTAGATAATAATATTTACATAAAGCAAATTAAACTCCCGAACAATGTATTTTTATCGTTGATTATTCTGAAGTAACGAAAATAAGAGTATCTATAATACTTCTGTCCTGTCCCGGGCTTAGCGAATAAAAATATATACTTGTCATATTATAAGTGACAATCGAACTCTTTAATTTTTAATAGTTTCAAAGAAATGTTACGTTATCGAGGAGTAAGAAATAACATTCTTGATATTTCAAAATCTGTTTGCATACTTTTCTGTCTTTTAACGCTTAATAGAGAGGTTACGTCCGCACTCTTATCTTCTCTATTATCTTCAGTGTTTTGTTCTTTTCTGGTATCCCTTACTTGTAAAAAACATCTGGAAGTATCCAAAAAACATTTTTATCCTGTGCTCCAATTACTATGTAATTCAAATTAGTTCTGGAAGCGTCAGTTTATTTGTTATACAACATGAAAAATCTAAGTAACATTTAATTGTTAGGGAATTTGATTGTTAAGGGATGCCAAAGAATGTTTAAGTTACAAGCCCAAACATTTTTTGGAATAATTTATCTTACGTTTTATATTCAAAAGTGCTTTCTGCCGTAGCTGTTTATTTGTATACTTCCGCTCGTTCGTAATCAGACCGAACTACACAAATAAGAATGTATTTCGTTTATTGATTCGATAACCGTGAAATTTGCATAAAAATGCGAAAAACCAACGAAGGACTACTCGGTGAACTTTAGTTCGTAAAAAATACTAAAACATTACTCAATACAGTAGAACCTCGATTATCCGGACTAATTGGGGATGAAGGTAGTCCGGATAAGGAAAAATCCGGATAATGGAAACAAATACTTTGTCTTTTAATGATAATACAACACGTTTTATTTTCGATGACATATCGGTAATATTAAAAGTAAATACTGTATTTAAATCGTGATCAAATTTTCAAAAAACAAACGTTCGTATTGAATTTGGACTACTACTGACCAGCGCTAACAGACTACCTATTGTTTAAAAGGCCCT